GTATTAGAGGCTCTTCCCTACCTTCTCTTCTATTAGTTTCAGTGTATCTGGTTTTATGTGGAGGTCCTTTATCCACTTAGACTTGAGCTTTGTACAAGGAGATAAGAATGGATCAATTTTCATTCTTCTACATGTTGTCCTCCAGTTGAACCAGGACCATTTGTTGAAAATGCTGTCCTTTTTCCACTGGACAGTTTTAGCTCCTTTGTCAAAGATCAAGTGATCATAGGTGTGTGGGTTCATTTCTGGGTCTTCAATTCTATTCCATTGATCTTCCTGCCTGTCTCTGTACCAATACTAAGTAGTTTCTATCACTATAGCTCTGTAGTACAGCTTGAGGTCAGGGATGGTGATTCCTTCAGAAGTTCTTTTATTGTTGAGAATAGTTTTCCCTATCCTGGGTTTTTTGTTATTACAAATGAATTTGAGAATTTCCTTTTCTAACTCTGTGAAGAATTGAGTTGGGATTTTAATGGGAATTGCATAGAATCTGTAGATTGCTTTTGGCAAGATGGCCATTTTTATTATATTAATCCTGCCAATCCATGAGCATGGGAGATCTTTCCATCTTCTGAGATCTTCTTCGATTTCTTTCTTCAGAGACTTGAAGTTCTTGTCATACAGGTCTTTCACTTGCTTGGTTAGATTCACCCCAAGGTATTTTATATTATTTGCAACTATTCTGAAGGGTGTCATTTCCCTAATTTCTTTTTCAGTCTATTTATCTTTCATGTAGAGGAAGGCTACTGATTTGTTTGAGGTGATTTTATAACCAGCCACTTTGCTGAAGTTGTTTATCAGGTTTAGGAGTTCTCTGGTGGAAGTTTGGGGGTCACTTAAGTATACTATCATATCATCTGGAAATATTGACATTTTGACTTCTTCCTTTCCTATTTGTATCCCTTTGACTTCTTTTTGCTGTCTAACTGCTCTGGCTAAGACTTCCAGTACTATATTGAATAGATAGGGGGAGAGTGGGCAGCCTTGTCTAGTCCCTGATCTTAGTGCCATTGCTTCAAGTTTCTCTCCATTTAGTTTGATGTTGGCTACTGGTTTGCTGTAAATTGCTTTTACTATGTTTAGGTAGGGGCCTTGAATTCCTGATCTTTCCAAGACTTTTATCATGAAGGGATGTTGAATTTTGTCAAATGCTTTCTCAGCATCTAGTGAGATTATCATGTGGTTCTTTTCTTTGAGTTTGTTTATATAGTGGATTACATTGATGGATTTCCTAATATTGAACCATCCCTGCTTTCCTGGGAGAAAACATACTTGATCATGATGGATGATTGTTTTGATGCGTTCTTGGATTCAATTTGCTAGAATTTTATTGAGTATTTTTGCATCGATGTTCATAAGGGAGATTGGTCTGAAGTTCTCTTCCTTTGTCGGGTCTTTGTGGGGTTTGGGTATGAGTGTAATTGTAGCTTCATAGAACGAATTGGGTAGTGTTCCTTCTGTCTCTATTTTGTCGAATAGTTTGAAGAGAATTGGTATTAGGTCTTCCTTGAAGCTATGATAGAATTCAGCACTAAAACCATCTAGTCTTGGGATCTTTTTAGCGGGGAGACTTTTAATGACTGCTGCTATTTCCTTAGTGGTTATGGGACTATTTAGGTGGTTTATCTGCTCCTGATTTAACTTTGCTACCCGATATCTGTCTAAGAAGTGGTCCATTTCATCCAGGTTTTCCAGTTTTGTTGAGTATAGGCCTTTGTAGTAGGATCTGATGATTTTTTGAATTTCTTCAGTTTCTGTTGTTATGTCTCCCTTTTCAGTTCTGATTTTATTAATTTGGATACTGTCTCTGTGCCCTCTGGTTAATCTGGCTAACGGTTTATCTATCTTGTTGATTTTCTCAAAGAACCACCTCCTGGTTTTGTTGATGTTTTATATTGTTCTTTCTGTTTCTATTTGGTTGATTTCAGCCCTGAGTTTGATTATTTCCTGCCTTCTACTCCTCCTGGGTGTATTTGCTTCTTTTTGTTCTAGAGCTTTTAGTTGTGCAGTCAAATTGTTAGTGTGTGCTCTCTCCAGTTTCTTTTTGTAGGCAATTAGAGGTATGAGTTTTCCTCTTAGCACTGCCTTCATGGAGTCCCACAAGTTTTGGTATGATGTGTCCTCATTTTCATTGAATTCTAAAAAGTCTTTAATTTCTTTCTTTATTTCTTCCTTGACCAAGTCATCATTGAGTAGAGAGTTGTTCAGTTTCCATGTGCACGTGGGTTTTCCATTGGTTTTTTTCATTATTAAAGACCAGTCTTAGTCCATGGTGATCTGATAAGATGCAAGGGATTATGTCAACCTTTTTGTATCTGTAGAGGCCTGTTTTGTGACCGATTATATGGTCTATTTTGGAGAAGGTACCATGAGGTGCTGAGAAAAAGGTATATTCTTTTGTTTTAGGATGAAATGTTCTATAGATGTCTGTTAAGTCCATTTGGTTCATAACTTCTGTTAATGTCAAAGTGTCTCGGTTTAGTTTCTGTTTCCATGATCTGTCCATTGCTGAGAGTGGGGTGTTGAAATCCCCCACTATTATTGTGTGAGATGTAATGTGTGTTTTGAGCTTTAGTAAAGTTTCTTTTATGTTTGTAGGTGCCCTTGCATATGGAGCATAGATGTTCAGAATTGAGAGTTCACCTTGGTAGATTTTTTCCTTCGATGAGTATGAAGTTCCTTATCTTTTTTGATTAATTTTGGATGAAAGTTGATTTTATTTGACATTAGAATGACTACTCCAGCTTGTTTCTTGGGACCATTGGCTTGGAAAATTGTTTTCTACCCTTTTATTCTGAAGTAGTGTCTGTCTTTGTCACTGAGGTACGTTTCTTGTATGCAGCAAGATTCTGGTCTTGTTTGTGTATCCAGTCTGATAGTCTGCATCTTTTTATTGGGGAATTGAGACCATTGATGTTAAGAAATATTAAGGAAAAATGATTGTGTCTTCCTGTTATTTTTGTTTTTAGAGGTAGAATTATGTTTGTATAGTTATCTTCTTTTGGGGTTGTTAGAAGATTTCTTCCTTGCTTTTTCTAGGTTGTAATTTCCCTCCTTGTGTTGGCGTTTTCCATCAATTATCCTTTGAAGTGCTGGGTTTGTGAGAAGATACTGTGCAAATTTGGTTTTGTCATGGAATATCTAGGTTTCACCATCTATAGTGATTGAGAGTTTTGCTGGGTATAGTAATCTGGGCTGGCAATTGTGTTCTCTTAGGGTCTGTATGATGTCAGTCCAGGCTCTTCTGGCTTTTATAGTCTCTGGTGAGAAGTCTGGTATAATTCTTATTGGTCTGCCTTTGTATGTTACTTGACCTTTTCCCCTTACTGCTTTTAGTATTTTTTCTTTGTTTTGTGCATCTGATGTTTTGATTATTATGTGACAGGAGGTATTTCTTTTCTGGTCTAGTCTATTTGGTGTTCTGTAGGCTTCTTGCATGTTCATGGGGATCTTGTTCTTTAGGTTAGGGAAGTTTTCTTCAATAATTTTGTTGAAGATATTTACTGGCCCTTTAAGTTGGGAATCTTCATTCTCATCTGTACCTATTATCCTTAGGTTTGGTCTTCTCATTGTGTCCTGATTTCCTGGATGTTTTGAGTTAGCAGTTTTTTGCATTTTCCATTTTCTTTGACAACTGTGTCAATATTTTCCAACGTATCTTCTGCATTTGAATTTCTCTCTTCTATCTCTTGTATTCGGTTGGTGATGCTTGTGTCTACGACTCCTGATTTCTTTCTTAGGTTTTCTATCTCCATGGTTGTCTCCCTTTGAGCTTTCTTTATTGTTTCTATTTCCATTTTCAGATCCTGAATGTTTTTGTTTAATTCCTTCTTTGTGTTTTCTTGCATTTCTTTAAGGGATTTCTGTGATTCCTCTTTAAGGGCTTCTACCTGTTTACTTGTACTCTCCTGTATTTCTTTAAGGGAGTTACTTATGTCCTTCTTATAATCCTCTATCATCATCATGAGAAGTGATTTTAATTCTGAATCCTGCTTTTCCGGTGTTATGGGGTATCCAGGGCTTGCTATATTGGGAGAACTGGGTACTGATGATGCCAAGAAACTTTGGTTTCTGTTGCTTATGTTCTTGAGCTTGCCTTTTGCCATCTGGTTAACTGTAGTGTTACCTGCCCTCACTGTGTCAGACTGGAGTCTGTATTTCCAGTTATCTTGCTTGTGGTAGAGCTCCTCAGGGTCCAGATGTCTCTGTGGTGTTATGATCCTAGTATCCTGGGTGGAAGAACTCCTGGAACTCAGGCTACCTCTTGGATCTAGAAATCTTTCTGCTCTGGGTGCAGTGGTTCCTCTAGGATGGCACAGGATAAGATGTCTCACAAGTGCAAACCACTTTGGTGTCTGCTGCTCTGAGTGCAGTGGCTCCTCTAGGATGGCTCAGGATTCAGTATCTCCACAGGAGCAGACCAACTCTGTGTCTGCCCCAGCCCAAGGGACCAGGCAGGGGCGGAAGGGAAGTGGAATTCTGGAGGGACAGGGTTTGGGTAGCTGGTGTGTCTTGACTGTTCCTGGCTCCCAGCTGTATCTGTGGGGGTTAGGGAGTGAGATGTAGTTCTTACTGGCTCTTCTGAGTGCAGTGGCTCCCCTAGGATGGCTCAGGATTCAGTATCTCCACAGGAGCAGACCAACTCTGGGTCTGCCCCAGCCCAAAGGGACAAATTTTCAATATATTTGAGGGTATATATTTTCATTTCTATCTTAAATAATATGTCGTACATATGCTCTTTAACTGTCTGTGACCAATTATGAGACATCTATTAATTTTCTATCTATCTATCTATCTATCTATCTATCTATCTATCTATCTATGTTAGAAGAGACTTGTGTATACCTAGAAAGATATTAAGACAATTAGTTGTTGCATTAAAAATATATTTTATATCAACTATGAGCAAAGCTTCAGAAGTTGTGGACAAGGTAGCAAATATATAAGATGGAAGTCTAGAGGTCTAATATAAGGACTATAGGCAATACAAATGTTGCAAGCCTGCCCTGAGAGGTATCAGGTGTGGCTGCTGCTGTGTCACTTGTGCAGCACTAGATGGCAGAGAGGAGAGAGGCTTTGTTTGCTAAGAGAAGAAAGTAAGTTGTTGAGAAATTGAAGAGAAAGAAAAACAGAAGGATGTGGGCACAGTGAAGAGAGGCACAACTGGAGACTTGAGGACAGTGAGAAACAGCCTGATGTGAGGAGCCAGTGATGCCACCTGGGACCATGGTAGGGTCCTGGCCTGTGCTGCTATGGGAGGGCCAGGTCTGGGTCCATGGCCCTATAGCAGCAGGAGTTTGTTATCACCAAAGGCCATGTGGACAACCCTGGTCTGGGCTGCTACCTAGGGACATGTTGATGTCTTAGGGATGCGCAGAACTGGGCTCACTCCTCAAATGGTCACTATAGGAGAGCTGACCCCACCCCTAGCCAGCTGCAGTTTCTGGTGAGCCATACAAACATGGGAAACCTGGCTCTATCAGTTGTCTCTATGAGGTGGTGTGGACAAAGGAGAGATACCCTCCTCCATCCTTTCCCATGCCTCACTACCTGTGGCAAGTGGGAGACCTGGCCCTGGGGTCATGAGAGCTGGAGAGCTATCCCTACCCCTCACCTGCTGCAGCACTCAGAAAAGCAGGCCCTGTACCTCATCAGGGCAGCACAGCAGAGCAGGCCCTAAATGTATGCAGGCCCTGAGGATTATAGATGATCTGGTCCCAAGCATGTAGATAGAGCCAGCAAGCTGACCAGCTCAGATACTTCCCAGGTCCCAGGCTTTGAGAAGGCTTACTCTAACATTTACTCTATTGATGAACTGCTGAACTGCATTAAGGGGCCAGCCCTACATATCTCAAATTATGGGATCTCCATGACACAGGCCAACAACAGGATATCTGAGAGTAATCCCAATGAAGTTCCTGTATTTATAGTACAGCAGAAGCCAGAGGCCTTGAAGCACACCACTGACTCACTACAATGAGCATTTACAAGCAAAGATGTATGGACAAAAGGGTATAGTGTGGGACACACTGTGACACACTACAGCTTCCACAATGAGATTTTTTTTTCTCTGTTGTGGGGAAAAGTTGCAAGGGTAGAGGGTGGGTAGGAGGGAAGGGAGAGATGAGTGGGATTGGGGTGCATGATGGGAAATAAAGCTCCACATTAGTTTTGAAATGTTTGATTTTGGAGACTGGGAATGTAGCTCACTGGGTGGAGTAGTTGACTATCATACATTGTCCGGTACTGCCTTCGCACGGGTCTTGGGCAGGGTCGTGGAGCAGTGGACCCGGGCGCGCTGCTCAGTAGTGCTGGGCAGCTGCGCAGGCGCGAACAAGAACAGGCGGGGACGTCCTGGGTGCCGGCTCCGAGGCCGACCCGGGACCATGGCTAGCTAGAGTGTAGAGAACACAGGGCAGGCAAAAAGGCTTCTCTCCCTCCCCCGCCCCACGAAGACAGGAGCTGGCACGAGTCTTGACTTACACAAGGAGTCTGGATTTCAAGAGACACGTGGAGATTTAAGATGTGTTAATTTATTGACATGACAGTGGGTTTGGGTGGTGTGGAGCTTTCCCAAAAAATGTTGAAAGGGGTTTGTGTATATATTGGAAGCGGGCAGGGCTTCAGGTAATATGTAAATTTTGAGGCAGAGACCTGTTAGTCTCATGTCTTATGTGACCTAGCAAGGGCTTTATGCTAGGTCTCTGGGTTTTGGGGGCGTGGCCAAACACCCAGCCCCACAATACATGAGGCCCTCGGTTTGATCTCAAGCACTGTATCAACGGGGCCAGTGGTACATGTCTGTAATTCAGAAACCCCAGGGAATTCAAGGTCAGTCTCAGCTATATAGGGAGTTGGAGGCCAACTTGGGTGGAATATATGAGATCCTGACAAGAAAGAGAGAGGAAGAAGAAGAGGGGAAGAGAGAGGAACAATGGAGGAAGGGACAGAGGAAGACAGATTGGGAGGGAAAGAGGAAGTGAGAGAGGGAGAGGAAGTGGGAGACATGGAGAGAGAGAAAGGGAGAGAGAGAAACAGAGCGACAAGGAAAGGGACAGAGGGAGAGAGGGGGAGGGAGAGAAGAAATGAAAAAGGGAGAGGAAGAGAGGAAGAGTGAGATGGAGAGGGATATATATATATATATATATATATATATATATATAGAGAGAGAGAGAGAGAGAGAGAGAGAGAGAGTTTACTAGTCTTAGTCATCCTTCAGCTGGAACATTGTCCTACTGAAGGTCATTTTGAGGTCAATGATATTTTTCCATGGTGATCCCTTCACAGGCCTCTCTTCTGTTTGGAACTGTCATTTCCTCCTCTTTTTTTCCTTTTCCTTTGATCGGGAAATCCCAGGGCTGGCCATGGTGCCATGCCTTCATCAGTCACTCACTGGTGATTGACTATAAAATTCAGTGAGAAAGGTTGTCTGTCACACAAGCCTAGTATTGAGCTCCCAGAAAGTGTCACTCAGTGACATACAAAATTTAGACTTTTAGTCCCTGAAAGCAAAGCTCATGACCCCACATAATCCACTAGTCTGTCAGTCATGGATCAACTTGTCCACCCATGTTAAAGGTGGCTGGACCCCTGGATAGAGGAGTGTGTTCCTTTCAACGGGAAATCTGAGAACCTTCTGAGAAGCATTTCTTACTTCCCATCACAAGGAGTTCAAACTGTCCTGTTTTGGAAGAAAATGCTCATCATGGTACTTGTATGTCTTTTAAAGAAACTGAAGTTCACCTACCAAGAAGTTCTGCAAAGTATGCAGGGTGGCTAGACTGGGGTCTCCTGAAGAGAAAATGAGGAACAACACCTTTTATGACATGAACTGCACGTGACAGTCAACCTTGAATGTGTGGAGGTTTAACTGTAATTATTTCTGAGCACTGTTTGAGAACTATGCATTAGAAGACCATGGAATGTATATTCATTCTGTTTGTCAGAGTTCTTAGCTGATGATAGTCCCCAAAGGTCTAGGATTATTCATACTCAACTGAAAACTATTATCAGTACCTTTGACATGAATTCTACTGAAAAGGCAAACAGTTAGCAGTTTATATCATTGTGAATGTGTTAAATTAGAAATTATTTTTTAAATAAAAGATTTTTGTGTGTGATTGTCAATATTCCAAACACATTGTAGAGGAAGGCTGTGTAAACTAAATATTCACTAGTAAAATTAGTACATTGTGAATAGACCATTCAGGACATAGTTTTGTGAATTAACCTAAGGAATTTCCCAGAAAGAAGGAAAATAAAAAGCAATTGTCAAAAATATAGATTATGCTTAAGAAATTGAATGCTTTAATGGTTATAGAATTGGTCACTACTAGGACAAAGTTTAACGCATTCGGTGCTTCTGCTGCATATTCTTCTGAAAATAATGATAGTGACAATTTTAAAGGCTTCAATTTATCCAAACTACCATTTGTATAATTCATAAAGCAACCCATTGCATCTTAAAATAAATTATAACTGTAATCTCCAATAATTAACTTACAGTTATTAGATTCATGAATTGTGTTAAGAGCATATTATTGAATTTTTGCCTTTGTGAGTTCTCATAAAATGAAACACCAAACTGCTTCAAGTCTTCTGAACCACTGAGAGGGCTCACTATACATGCAGAGGACCGGGGTTTTGATAGAGAGTTGAATACTGTCCAAAACCTGGATGCTGTACTCAAACCATTTGTACTGTTCAATTATTTATAAAAACCACCTGGCTTTCAACACATTCAACCACAGACCAAAATTCATTTACATATCTTCATACTGAATCTCTACTACTAGCTGTATTATAAAAATCATCTCTAGCAATTTAATGCCAAGCATGTGATGTTTAGCATATTCTTACGAGTTATATAAATGGTAATGAGTTGGCTAACTTGAAGCTTTCACAATAACTTCTTGTGAGCCATGAGTATGGCTCAGCAATTAAGAGTACTGGATGCTCTTCCAAAGAATCTGGGTTCATTTCCCAGCACCCACAGGGCAGCTCACAGCTGTCTGTAACTCCAGTTCCCTGGGATCCAACAACCTCACACAGACATACATGCAGGCCAAATTCCAATGCACATAAAAATAATGAAAATAAAATTACTTAAAAACTACTTCTTGCAATAGTTTCTGTGACATTGGCAGGAAATGTGCGATACTGTGCTTTATCAGTGACCAGTTTTATTAATTTTATTGCTATATTTCTTTAAATTTTAAGGTACATTTTGTAAATGGCTTTTTTAGTCATTAAATTTTTAATATTAATGAATTTCTCATTAATGTATTTGGAAAAAGAGATGTGATACCAGCTCAAGTAACTCTGGAAACCTGTCTTTGACAGAACTGTTAGATTGCCCATGATTTGAGCCATGTCCATATTATGGACACTAACTAAAAAATAAAGACAAAATCATGTCATTGTATCTACTGTGTGAAAATAAAATCTCGTAATATCATAGGCATGGAAGTTGCTTATCACTTCACATTTAGTACTTTGTTTGAAAGTGACCCATGACCCATTTAAGATCAAAGTTCATGCAACTGGCAAGTATTGTGTGTCTCTGAGATGTGAAGTACACAAAAAGGAATTCATAGAGATAAATTGTTTGGAATGAACAAGTCCTGTCTAAGCCTTAAAGACTTTCTCAAATGTCAATGGAGACAAAGAATGAGAGAAATAAATTTTTAGAAGTAGCCAGTTTTATCCTGTACCACCACCAAAACAAACAAACAAACAAACAAGAACAAAAACCCCAAACAATAACAAGGCACAAATTCCTAGTTCTTGAATATTTTTATGCAGTTCAGAGTGGGCCTTATGGTGTAAGGCCCACACTTTCACTAAGTATGACAGGCATTTACCAGTGTGCTAAGAAGGCCTTTATGGCCAGGCTTAAACCTCCACTATATCTTACTGTATTTGGAAAAATGGCAATAATTCCCAGCCAGAAAACAATGTTCCCTGTAACCTGCACATAGCCAAATCATGCATGCCTGCGTATAGCACATAGATGGAGCCCATGATGAGGGCAGGTATTTACCACACCAGAGTAACATATCTGTATGTTCCTCCAGTCAGTTATAACTCCATCATTTTGCATCACCATGGCCTGGCTTGGTACTTAAGCATTC